TGAAGAATGCTTGCATGGTTGACTGGTCGGCAGGAGTGTGTGTTTGGTATACACACGGGTCCCATTCCCACTTTTCTAGAAAATTGCCCACCTCAGCGAAAAGGAAAGGGAGGCAAAATGCAAAATTAGAGTAATGCAGACTTATTACGTCATCGAGCACAAATCTGCTTCAGTCGAGAGCGTTCTCAAAAGCTGAACGAATGAAAGGGTTCAAACATAAATGGCATGGGTCTAAAACGGGAATGCAATGTCATAGCTGAATAATTTGGCATGACCTGGGACAAGAAACTGACAAAACCCAATGATCAAGATGAATGGTTTTTGGGATGCATGGTTGGGTGGTTTTCGGACGCAAGGACGCATGGTCCACTTCACGACCAACAGAAGCAATGTCCATCCTATTTAGTAGCTAACGGTGTCGCTCGGTAGACGGTACTCTGACGCACCGTCCACATTTGTTTTGTCGGCAAAATTGGCCTCTAAGGCAAAATGCCGTTCAGCTGGTGCTTGTCAGGGACGCATGGTTTCAGGCGGCGTGGAAAAGGTGGATCACGCGGCAGACTCGTGATCAGCGACACGTAGTTTCAAGCGGCGTGGAAGAGGTGGATCTTGTGTCAGACCCATGACCAGCGACATGAAGCTTCAAGCACAGAGGAAGGGGTGGATCTTGTGTCAGACTCGTGACCAGCGACATGTAGTTTCAAGCACAGAGGAAGAGGTGGATCTTGTGTCAGACTCGTGACCAGCGACATGTAGTTTCAAGCGGCGTGGGAGGGATGGACCATGTGGCAGATTCGCGATGCTCCGCCAGCCTGAATAATCGCCACAGAATCGCGTGGAAGCCTGCGGGTGCCGGTTCCATCCCAAGGATCGCGTGCCAAGCGGTTTTTTTGAAACGGATCTAGCATCACTTGATACGGAATCAGCGTTGTATACAGTCGGTGTGCAGTGATAAGGATGTTGACCGCTGGCACCAAATGCGGTGATGTATGGACGCGTTTGTTTGTTCGGTATATGGCCTCTCGGGTGCGAGGTACTGAAAGGGTTTGAAAACAACAAATAGTGAATATAATGCCAAAATATCACGGGCATGACCACGTTCGGCTAGCGATAACCACCACCTATTACATAGTATACGCAACCATTTACACTCATTCCCAACAAATGCGGCCTTATAATAACGGTTACACTGACAAGTTCCGCGCAGGCCTACAAAAGACAGGAGTGAGAGGTGGACACCTGTCTCTCCGTTATCTCAAGAGAAAGTTAAAAGGAATGTTTTGCATTTGAAGACATCGAGGCAGGCATCAAATATGATGAAGCAGGTTTACTTATAACCACTGGTATACTTTTTAAGTGGAAGTACTATTCTACACAGCGCAATTGTCTGTTTAGCAAAACAGATGCTCTTCAATGCGTCATGGTTTGGTCATCGTACCTTGCACAACGCTGATAGAGAGCCAGTTGCTGGCTGTTGTAGCTGGAAGTCGCGCCCACGAACGCCAGGTATGAACGCCCCGACAATCATATTTTTCTTGGCCTTGATCACCACATGCCTTATGGAATGGGAGGATTCGAACGACGTTATCAGGACGTCATGCATACCAAGGTGGCTTTGACATACTCTCCTCGATGTTTTTCCCCATTTCTGCTGGGGTGTAGCTCCGAAACTAGACGAGGTCTTAATGAGGGCAGGGCTGTGAACAGCACCGAAAGGTCTTCCAGTTGGCTAATTCAGTTCAAACCCCCACATAAATGTGGAAAACTTCCGTTAACGTAAAAAAACGAGTGACAGTGAATGTATAGCGCTTGAGATTCAGACCCGCCCTTGCTTAAATTGTTATCAATGTCGAGCAGAGGTTACGTCACATTAGGCCATTGTAATATTCATTGTAATGTGTATGCGCACAATCGACACACAAATATCGTCTGCGGTTTTCATCTGTTAGCATCTGAAAAGTTGTGTAACTCACCATTGTGCTCAACCATAGTTATGTACTGCTGGAGTCTGAGCCGGGTCATCCAGCTGTCAAGTCAGCTGCGTGTCAAGATTAACCTATAGGTCAGTGATAAAATGATGACCTGTCGTGGCCAAAATGTTTACGCAGATGAGAAAGCAGAATTACTAAGTCTAAAGACGAATGCAAACATGCATATTTTGCCGATAGAGTATATCTATAGTGTAGAAGCCAATTTTGACCAATGACTTATGAAGATCTCCCAGGGTAAGCACGCCAGACACAAGTAAAGAAGTTACTCAGTTTAGACTAAAAATGCATGTCATGAGGTAAACTAAAATGTCATGGTTGAATGACAAAATATCGCATCAGGTAACGATGTAATCGTAAGCACTATAAAAACCAAAAAGTTGTTCATGCAGATTGCATGGAGTAAGGACCGAATGGCAAAAGTTCATGTAGCGTTGATGGTCACTTTGCGTTTACTAGGTGGAAACAAGTACTAAAGCTTCACATGTTTTCTTCTTTAAATTACTAAACCTTGACTTTGACTCTTGGGCGATGACTCTTGGGCGTGTCTCGGGCGATGCGGACCAAAGAATATCAAGAACTATACCTCACGCCGCAGCGCGTGGTTCTCATTCCAGTTTAATTGTTAGTGAACCATCTTCGGACTGCTTGCATTGCAGCACCACGTCGGGCCCCGATTGAACGTTGGGGCCCGAAGAGAGACGGCACATTTTTTTCACGAGAGCCAGCGCAGCTACCGGCATCAAGAGCCAGTACAGTTCCGGGCTTACCAGAGCCGTCGCAGCTGCCGGTCTCACGAGCCATTGCAGCTACTGGCATCAAGAGCCGGCGCAACGATCGGCGTAAAGTGCGACTTACCGTCCTAGACAGTGGTGATCTATGTTTATCTCCCGGAGACACGCTGTGGTGCTGCTTTCGGCTGAGCCGAGTGTAGCCGCGATATCGCCAACGACGACGACCGGCAGTCACGCCCAGTACAATAGCTGGAAACAGCAGTCATCCGGCGCCTCCGCAACGGAAACGTCTTCCAGATGTCTGCTCAGGTAACGGATGCCATTCTCGGTACGGGCAGTCATCTTACAAACTTGATTCGAATGTAGGGTTGGATGACATCCTAGTTGACACCATGGACTCCGAATGTGCTTCACCGCCAGACGGCACAACGCGGGCCTCCAGCATCGAAGCGTACAATGAAGGCTGAATAGTATCGCCCTGCTTCAGAGTCAGTCCCGCTCCGTGTCAGGAACATACGGTTGGCAGTGTGGAGTTGCCAATGGGGACTGGCTGCACTAACCCCATTTTGCTTCTCTCCAAAGTTAGGGAGCGAGGGGGGAAAACATGCTCGTTCCAGCCCCTGGGTGGAGGTCAATAATGTTGTTCGTGTTCTGTCAAGTACACGAATTGAATTTTTGTTGATCAGTGCATGGATTTATGGCAGGGCCTTCTGTAATATGTTAAATAGAGGGGAAAATCCTCTCCATTGGCGTGGAAATCCCCAATGGCGTGGAAAATCCCTCTCCGTGAAAGATGTCTGCGATGAAGCAGTCGCCTTCTATTTCGTATAACGTACAATCCGGTCAACTATGTATTGGCAAGAAATCCCCTCAAATGTTACTCATTACTGGAGGCCCCGCTTTATGGCATTTCCTGCGGACTCCGCTCTTGCACCGGGCTGGGCTGATCTGGAAACTGTGCGCGTGTAGAGCAAGAGCCCTTGGTGAAATACCCGAGCGAATGAGCCATTCTAAAGTTCTTGGCAACGTTGCCAAGCCAGGGACATCAAGTGCCACTATACCAGCATTATGTAGCGGTGCTTATCTGCGCGGCACCAGGCAGACTGAGATGACTATGAACGAGGTGAGCTGCTTGGAACAGGCTGATATGCCAAAGCGCGCGCATCGGGAGATGCTCTCCAAAAAGGATGGAAGCGGGGCGAGAGAAGCTATTTTCGACTTTTTAAGGTCATCCTTGCCATTCATCGTCGTGGCCCCACTGTCTCCACTTAAATTACGCTTCCCTCCCTCGCCCGGAGTGGATGGCGATACCTCGGGCACGCATATATGCCAATTTGTTTCGTTTTCATCGGATCATTTAAGAAATGGGCAATGAAAAAATTGCCACTTTATGGCAGGCCAATCGTTTAGCTCAAACCCCGCGCGCTAGAGGCGGGCCGCTTTTTAAGAGCTTCTTCCTTTTTATAGCCTCGTGAAATAGTTACCATAGAGGCAACTTGTTTATCGAGAACGTACCCACACCCAGTACGCCCTCCCGTCCGGCCTCTCGCCTCGAAAAAAGCACCGGCGACCGACCAGACCTTGCCGGCCCGACGGCGCGCCAGGCAACAGAGCAAGCGCCCAAGCGACCAGCGAGGCTGAACAGACCATCGGCAGGATCCTTCACGAGTAATTATTCCGTGGTGAGAAACTGAGTGAGAGCAATTTCACGACGCGCAAGAGCTGCGTCATGCGACGAATGCTCCGATGAACATCACCTACTGCATAGATGTCGTGTGCTGCCTCATTCATCCCCATTCCATTGTCTTCGGCATGCCAATTCCAGGCCTCTCCTCTCTGCTTTCGCGAGCAAGCTCAAGAAATAAATGGAAGTGCGCAGCCTTAGAACTTCAAACGATCCACAGGGTCAACATCTTTTTCAGCAATTCTGCACACAGGAGGCACGCTTGAAATTCCACGCAGCACTACACGAAGAGACCGGCAGAACGATGCGGTTCGCAAAGAAAGTGGAAGATCACCGTGACGCACGGTGTTCAGCATAGTGTGCAGCATCATGATGGCCGTGCGACTCACGTGGTGTCCTCATGCCGCTCCAGCAGACTCGAGCGTCGTCCAGGCACGCACCGCTGACGACCCCGCGAGAGACAAGAACACAGCATTTACGGGTCTGTACCTGCAGTGTTTTCAGACGGACACCACCCTTCGATGGGTGAAGTCTTCTGACCCACCCTTCCTGTCCACGTGCGCAGTCGTATATCAAATGTTCTAAAGAGCGCCATATCATAATAGTTTATTGTATAAGTCCTCAACATTGGAAAAGTACAAATGCCGTAGTTACAACCAAACTACTGTTAGGAAAACGTTCATTGCTAGTCTTTTTTCGTCTTTTGACCGGATTGCGGCAAGTGCTTGCGCAACTGTTGAATTTCAGCAACATTGGTAGGTGGAAGGCAGCCAAAGAGGTGCTGGACCTTGGAGTGCGAATATGTACCAAGTCGATCAAGGAACTACAATAAACCACTGCACGGCAACACAAATATCATGAACACAGACAATATCGACAGCTGGCGGGGCCCGGGGAGCACGCGCCCATCGCCAGGCTCCCCGGGCGACGGCCATCAGGCAGACAATAAATTAGTGGATAAATTAACTACCGGGCGCCGCGGGGCGGGCCCACCTACGGCAAAGTAAGCTACCTCAAGCAGCGTGACTGCCACCTCACAGCTAATACTTAAGCAGGTAACTTAAGTACTGAGCCGGCTGCACCAGGTATGAGACTCGCGGCTTAGGGCCCAGTCGTCGTCTAACTACAGCTAAACCAATGACAATCCTAGTGTATATGCTAAAACAGGACAACGACAGTGGGCGGGTGGGCGGGCCAGCCGGACTCTCGGCCGCACGCCGGCGCGGCCGGCCACGCGACCGAGAGGGCGCCGGGTGGCCACGCCCACCCATATGCACATCACCGGGCAGCTGGTGACCCAGGGCCGAGTATTCGCAGGTTCTCCCAGTCTCAATATCATCCGTTTATTGCCCGCTGCAGCGCCGGCGTCGGCCACCTAGCCTCCGTACTCTAATAATTGGAATGTTAAGATGACTGGCCGACGTAATCGGCACAAGAAAACCACCACTAAACCACCGATACACTAATATTGAGATAGAAGTAAAGAGAGGGCTCGATGACGCGGCTCCGCGCAGCCAGGGGAACGAAACACACCATCAGGGCGGGCGGCACACCGGCGGCGCTCGCTGATTGGTGGCCGCGGCCGTGGGGCAGCGCTGATTGGTCGATCCGCCGCCGGTGCGACGCGCGGCCACGGGTACAACACATAAACGACACAGAATTGCGAACAGTGAAGCTAGAGTCCTGTACACAAAAGGCAACCGCTACAGCTGAGTGGACTGATTGCATCCGCCGAGCAGCGTACCACCACGCCGCAGTGCCCATGTAGAAAAGTGCTCAGCAAAACGCCGTCGGCACGGCGGCAGGCACCGGCCATTCCACTTTGCATATGTAGTTACTGGGGAGGCGCTACTAAGCAAAATAAGTAGATGGATTTGTGCCTCAGCTTAACATCACTACATCGAACATAAATGGGACGTCGACACACGCACACCTTAGAAAACGTTTATAGAAACTACGGACATCTCACAAAAAGGAATGCTCAAGATGTAACAATTACTGTTCGTTGATCAAGGTTGGCTGTTTAGCCCGGGGCGATGCCCTACATGCTCGTAGTTCCTCTCCTGCCCATACAACAGGCAATAGAGCGCCATAGACTCTGAATTTTAACAGGTGTTATAAAAAGATACAACATTCCGATCACCGTTGATTCTGCGCCTGAGCGCCGACCGTAACATGACGATATCCGAAGGGGCATTTTCTATCGGCGGTATTGCAGACCTGTGATGCCGCGCGTCTCTGGCGGCCGGTGGCGGGTCGAGGGCGGTTCAGCTGTGGCTTAAGTCGGATGGGCCGCGTCTGGAGGAGCCACGCCCGCGCGCGGCGGACCGGCAGTTTTCGCGCCCTCTGCGGGCGTCCGAGGCCGGTCGAACGGGAGGAATGCCATTTTATATCATGCTACGAATCAGTATAAAAATAGTTTCTGCCTCCATGGAAGTAGCCTGGGTGCTGCGTGCTGGGAGCGTGCGCGGCCTCAGCTGTGCGGGCGTGCGGCGCCGGCGCGGGCCCGCCGCGCGCCGACCCTTCCCCACCCTGCCGCCGGTCAGCCAGACCAACTCAATCGACACCGCACCGCGCTGGTGAGGCGGGACAAGGACGACAACCGGACAGCAAGGTCATGACGCTGTGGCATGCTCGTTCATCCTAGAAAGCAAAGTAGAACAGAAATAATAAAAAGCCGAAAGTAACTTTTATTTCATCAGCATTATCTAACAGAGAAACACTACCTCAAACAAATGAACCAATCAACAAAAATAGTGACCGTGTTGGTTTTCAAAACCAAGAAAATCAGTGTTAGAAGGCTACACAGCCTAAAATCCAAAAAGCACGAGTTAGCCTATGTCTAATAAACTCAAACTAACTTCTATTGAGTGACGAACTGAAGTCAAAATGAAGAAACCATGTAAGTTGCGGAAGCTTCCGCGCACACAAACAGAGACTGAACACAACACAACGGAACCAAGCTGCTGGAAACATTGGTCTATGCTCTGTAAATACACGTGCTCGGGGCACGATTTCTCCCGCAATAAATACCGTAAATAAATATGCAACAAGCGGGAGCTGACGGCCGTCCGTCCGGCCCCACTGCGGCCGGTCGGCCGGCCGTCGGCGCCGGGGGCTCGCGCGCCACGCTCACATGACTAGACGTGGTGTGTACCGGGTTGGTGCGCGCGCCTTCTCTCTCTCTATATATATATTTCGGCCGCCCCTGCCTCTGTCCAGGCCGTCCGACACGCGCCGGCCTCGGCGCTCCACCGCCTCTCCTCGTCCTGTCGCCGCAGCTGCCGTGGCACAGTGAGATCATTTTCATGACTATTAGAAATATATCAAATTCCCCCGCGGCGCGAGCACGTGCGCGCGTGTACGTGAACCGGGATAGTGACTAGCATCATCGTCGCTTGCTCGCTCCCTTTCCTCTCGCCCTCTGCTCGGCTGGCGACGCGCCGCTTACGACTTGTGCTTATTGTTGCTCTTGAAGGACACCTGAAGCACGCGATTGCCGAGCGCGTAGCCGTTCAGGCTCTGGATGGCCACCAGGGCGTCTTCGTAGCTGGACATGGTGACGAAGCCGAAGCCCTTGCACTTGTTCGTCTGCAGGTCGCGGATAACCTTGACGTTTTGTACGGCGCCGAACGGCCCGAACAGCTGCCAAAGGATGCTCTCCTCGGTCTCGGGCGCCAGGTTGTAGACGAACAGACACCAGCCGGAGCCGGTCATGGCCGTGCCGGGCAGCAGCGAGTTGGCCAGCAGGTCGCCCGCCATCGGCGAGTACCTGCAACAGGCGCGCCGTGCCTGCGTCAGCGGCGGCCGTCGGCGGCTCCGGTGGCGGCGTGGCCAGGTTAGGCGACACGGTTAGAGGGTTAGGCGGGTCGGCGGGCCGCAGGGTCCCAAGCAGCCAGGGCAGGGCAGGGCATGGCGGTGCCGGGCGGGCGGGCGGGCGGGCGGGGCGGGGTGGGCCGGGGCGGGGCCGAGCAGAGCAGGGCAGGGCAGGGCGCACTACAGGCGGCACGCAGCACACATGCACGCGGGGAATGCAGCAGCGCAACGGAGGTAGCGGCACACGCAGACGGCGCACAGAGACGAAACAGAGGCAGAGATGTGAAGCCAGCAATCAAGGAGAGCGAGTACGTTATGGCAGAAAGCAAGTCACTGAGCTACATTCAAGCGATTCAAAATATACAGTGTATGACAAAAAGATAGGAAACGTATACTGACCTAAAAACGCCCTTCGATACAGCCATGGGCAGAACTTTGCCAGGACTAAAACAAGTAAGAGAAAATACATCAGGTGATGTTCAGAAATCAGATCTACGTAAGGCGTGCAAAATTATAAACTGGAACAAAAAACCTGTGTTCAGTACCAAATGAAATAAAGCAACAAGCCAAAGAACTGACAGACCAATATACTGATATGATGTAACAATCCAATGCAACATGTATTCGATATTCTGACGGTGAAAAATAGAAGAAAATGATGACTACGCACAGCAAAAAACATGAAAATCTAGTGAACACGAGCGCGCGCTGACGGCACAGAGCCTACGACGGCGCTGCGGTCTCCGCGTGTAGGCGCGAGAGCGCGCGGCGTCCGGTGGCGGCATGCTTACATGTCGGCTTTGGGACCCAGCTTCCAGCAGGACAGTGGGGCGACGACGGGATCTATGATTGCGGTGGGTGCGCTACACAAAACAGAGAGAGAGACCGACGGAGCGGCGGTCAGACTGTGGCCGCGGAGCCGCGCGGCGGCGGCAGCGGCGACGGCGGTCCACCCTGGTCACCAGTGAGCGTCCGCTCTCCCCTCCCCCCACGCAAGCACATACACGCGGCCCAGGGAGTCCTCGCCTTAGCGAAAGCTACCGTAGCCGGAGATGTCAAGCTTTTGGGTAGGGTGGCTGACGCTCTACCAGAAACTCGTCCGATTCATCACAGAATTAAGACAGCGTGCAGCCGCCCATCCGAGCCATTTACATTGCATCGGTGAGCTATTGGTTGGAGTCACGCCCGCCCTGCCCGGCGAACGGCTGCCCGCACATCGTCTCCGTCTTCCTCACACAGCTAGAAACACAGCGCGAAACCCGCTACAGCGCTCCCAAATCAGCTGCACAGTAACCAGCTGACCATGCTCAACCGGCGTAAAAGTGTCGAATTTTGCCAATTTTGCCAGTTCGCCGGCGCAAAGGTGGCATTCTGTTCAACAAATGAGACCTCAAACCGCCAAATAACACGAACCCAGGATAGCAAACATGCGCGCCAGTCGGCGCACCGAAACGGTGTCTTGACCTCTCGCCCAATGGAAACGCCTCCAGCGGCGGGTTCTCTGCATCCCGCGAGACTCCTAGTGCGACACACATGACGACACGACAACAAATCCCGTTTTGGCACTCGGCCAACAGATTGGTACGCCGTAACATCGGGCAATCCACTCCAAACACGATATTCCAAGAAAAGGCGTGCTTTACGTACGGTGGCTGGCTAAACACTACCCGCATTATCAAGACCAGCTGACCAAAACTAGAACGAATGGCAAACATAACTACGGGTGCCTACCAAAAAACAAAACAAAACAAAACAAACAAACAAACAGAAAATGCAGGTCCGAAAAAGTGGTGGAAAGAGCGAAAAAAACCTGAAACGACGAAAGAAAAGGAGAAGGAATGAGAGAAAGAGGGGAAAAGCAGTGGGGATATGGAGGAATGGAGTGGGATGTGAATAAGCAAACGAGTATGTGAAAAGCGACGGCTCAAAAAACAGATTAAGCAAATGAAATCCGGACAAGGGTAAGGGAGCAAAAGCAAGGACCAGGAAGCCACAGAGCGAGGGAGGGCCAGCACATACAGCCTAAAACAGCTGGGTTCAACACGCGCTCACATGGCTAATGACCCCAACAGACAAGTTGTGGCGGTCCATAACACAGACCGCCAGTGCTGCACACTACAATAACAACACGCGACCAGCAAGAGCGCCACGAGCGAGACAGGGAGGGAGAGAGTGAGAGGGGGAGGGAGAAAAAGAAAGAGAGAGAGGGCGAGAGCGAGAGAGAGAGAGCGGGAGAGAAAACGAGAGAGCGAGAGAGAGAGCAAGAGAAAGAGAGAGAGAGCGAGAGAAAGAGGGAGAGAGCGAGAGAGAAATAGGGAGAGAGCGAGAGAGAAAGAGGGAGAGAGCGAGAGAAAGAGGGAGAGAGCGAGAGAGAAAGAGGGAGAGAGAAAGAAAGAGGACGAGAGATGAACAGAGTTCGAACGGGAAAGCAAGTGCTTGGGAGGGGGCTTGTGAAGGGTGAGAGAAAAGGCTAAAGTGGGCTTGGAACAAACGGGGCTTGGGAAAAAGAGAAGGCCTTAGAAGGGCTTGAGAGAGAAGAAGAGGGAAAGAGTTGGTTTGAGCGAGTAGGTTTGAAAGAAGTGGGTTTGGGGAGGGGGCTTGAGCGGGGCTTGAGAGGGGGGGGGGGGCGCTTTAAGAGGGGGCTTGAGAGGAAGGGAGGGCTGAGAGAGAGAGGAGACGGTTTGAAAGTAGTTTGAGAGGGGGCGCTCGAGAGGGGCTTAAGAGAGAAGGCTTGAGCGGGGATTCGTAAGAGGGGGTTCGAGACAGATGGAAAGGGACAGTGAGGAAGATACAGACACAGATACAGACACAGAGTGAGAGAAAGAGAGAGTGACAGAGACAGAGAGCGTGCTGTGAAGCCGGTGGCGGTGGCGGTGGCGGTTAGTACCTGGAGCCGGTCACGGGGATGTTGTACCTGAATCGGCCCGCCGGGTGGTGGATGGGCCCACCCAGCCGGCGCGCCAGCGGCAGGTACGCCGCCAGCGGCGGCAGGCCCTTGGCATTGTTGCTGGGGTTGTTGGCGAACTTGACCGTGATGGGCTCAGTGCTGCCCTCAGGCACGGTGCCGTTCAGCTTGTTGATGGCACGCTCCGCCTCCACGCGCTGGTCAAACCGGATGAAGCCAACCCCCTTGGAGAGCCCTGCGCGCGCGAACACACCATCAGCGGCTCCAGTCAGCGGCCAGTGAAGGGGGATCTGCCCCGACCCAGCCCGATAGCATGCCCACCGCCTGTCGTCGGGCAGGGCGTTAGCTGGAGTGGACATTTGAGGCTGCGGTCGAGAAATGCAAGGGACAACTCAGGCAGGCACGGGGAGAGCAAGCCCCATCGAGTCATGTGGGCGGTGCTCTAAGTGGCACGTAAGAGGTTGTGCTGACCAGTTTGAGAAGCAACGGGCTCCAGTCCAGCAGAGACCAGTCCCATTTAGGAAGACCACACATCGCCCCGGCGCTAGGCCAGTTGCCGGGTGCGGGCAGTCCCGGCTGCGGCACGGCCCGACTGGGCGCGCCTCGACTTCCGGTGACCCGGACCGGCCGTGCCGGCCACGCCCGTGCCGGCGCCCGTCGGGCCGCGCCGCCGCGTCGCGTGTCTGCGCGGGCGGCGCCGCCGTCGGCCGTGGGCGGCCATCGATCGTCGGGCGCGTCGCAGCACCGGCCGGACAACAGAGGCGCCGCGCCGCCCAGCCCCGCCCGACCGCCCGACCGCCCGACCGCCAGACCCACCGGCCGACTGACGCCCCGCCGCCGACGCCGGCCGCCTACCGGTCATGTTGTCGCAGAGGATGCGCGACGTGATGATGCTGCCGTAGGAGGAGAACATGAGCTCCAGGTCCTGCTGCGTCATCGTCTTGGGCAGACCGCTGACGTACAGGTTGGCGCCTTTGATGGCCTCCGAGCTGGGTCGGGCGTACGACACCTGTGGCGGGTGGCACAGGGCCAGTCAGCACGAGCGAGCCGGAACAGCGCGAAACAGCGAAACAGCGACACAGACAGACAGACCACACGGCTCCGTGCACGCATACAGCAATACTCGTCAGGGCAAAACGGAGTAGGAGCACACATCATGTGAGTCAAACGAAGGCAAAAGAACCCGTCAGGAACAGACAAAATAATCTGTCAGGAACAGGCCAAATAACTCGTCAGGGACCAGACATCATAGCCAGTCAGAGGCACACCGCCACCCGACAGCGGCGCGTAAGGGCGACGAGACGAGAAGGCTAGCATGCTCTCTTGAGTGACAGACTGTAAGCTTGTTAGGGGACGATGGCTTTTCAAGGGGGACGAGCCAATTCGTCACCGAAAGGAGGTGACCAGAAGCACTGGGACATCAGCCGGCTGCCACATCCACCCACACGCCGTCGTCACCAGTCATGGCAACAACACTACGAATGTTGAGTCCATTTGAGGACTGACAACGATGGATGGCAAAAATCCGGTGTGGAATAACGGGTGCGTTTTCGGAAGGCGATAACATCACGTGTCAACCGCAAAACGAATATGAGCGGGCAGACAAATAGTTTGCGGCCCTTATCCTAATCCAATGCGTCACTTAATCAGGCACTTGGCGACCTGAGCCGATGCGACACATCCATTCCTGAAGCGTGGGTCAGAAAGGCTACAATAGAGCCCAGCAGTAGATTCGTCATTACAACAAATCGTGGCGTAACTCTTAAGTTAAGCACAAATATGCTGCTGTGAATTGCCCATCAGGCTAAAGGCCAAAGACAAAATGGCAATGCACTTGCAGCTACACGGATTTCTCACCATATGTTTTGAACTGTCATTCCCCGCGCCAATTTCGTCCCAAGCACCGAAGCCAGAGCCATATTCGGCCGCTGTTCCCCTCGGTGCGCGCCGGGAGCGCGCGAGAGACGGCTTTTTGCCGGGCCAAGTGGTGAAATGTGAGACAGGTGGCGGGCCGGGCAGCCGGTCGGCCGCTCACAAGCACCGGACACAGCTGTGCTCACCACGCACCACCTGCCCGCCCGCTCTGTGCCGGAGCGCACGGCTCTGCTGCCGCGCCGACCCCTGCCACGGTCGGTCGCACTGTCTTATCGGCCGGCGGGCAGACGTTTTTTAGTGGGCCTCCGCCGTGTCACGGGCCGCCACAAAGCAACGAAGGGACTTCCTTATAGCCACCCATCACGCACAAAATGTCATGGGCGGCTGCAAGTCGTCGTGAACGTATTTTATGGAACACAAGGCGATACCACCGGCTTCTTGGAGGGCCACCAGGTCGGTGGGTCTACGCCATTCAGATGGATACCAAGACCGGCACACGCCCGACTAGCTCCCCCACCAACTGATACCTTGCCGGCCGTCGCCGAGCCTTCCAGCATCATTATAATCGCTGGCCGTGCCAATATACCAGAACTATCACGACTTCTGAGGAGCAATCCTTCAATTTCAGGGTGGGCAAATAGACGTCGACCCACCCTGTCTGACGGCCGAGTGGGCGGCTGCCCATTCCGCCGACCAGGTGGCGCCGCCAATGTCTTCGGCACGACTCAGACGTCACGCCGCTCACTGAGGACGATTCCATCGACCTGATAACGCGCAACGTCCGAGCCCGTACGTCAGCGCCGAGCCGCCAGTCGATCGGCCGGGGCAGCCGACCGGCCGCCGTCAAGACTGCCGGCGGCGGCTCCGCACGGCCCGACGCCGCTGGCCGCCGCGCCCGCGCCACAAAGGCCACGTGCGCCACGGATAGCCTAATGACGCCGGGTATTGATTGGGCGGCTGGAGCCGACGGCGGACCGGCCGCCGCCATGGCGTCCCCTTCGGCGCCCCGGGCGCCGTCGGCTGGCGGGACGATCAATAGCGGGCCAGCTATTGATCAGTGCCCCTGTGGCGTGGCCGACCGTCCCCTGTCGGCGGCCGGCCCGCCGTATCGACCCAGGCCGGCACGGCCTCACCCTCCACCGGCCGCCACGCGTGGACACCCCCGCCAGCAGCGGCGACCTGGCGGGACACGGGACCATCGCCGGCGGCACGGCGCCGCGTCACGCACACCGGCTCCGGCAGGCGACGACCGCAGGCCGCCCAACGCCCGCCCGTCACACGCCGGCCCGCCGGCCGCCTGCGCGGACCCACACTCCGGCTCATCGCCGGCCGACCATCTGGCCAGCCGGCAGGATGAACATGTCCCGGCAGCGGCGCGTGGCCCGACGCAATCCATTACCTTGGCAACGATATCTACTTTCCAGGAGCAAACTGCAGCACGAATGATTGCTTTCCAGAGCCTGTCCAATTTTCATGGGATTCCATTAGTAACGTCGGACGCGATTGCCGGCTGTCGGAGCCGGGGCTGAGCGTTGGGCCGCCCGGTAGGCGCGTCAGCGTCAGCAGTCCGTCAGCAGCCATCGCGACCGGCGCATCGACAGCGCGCCGCTCCAGTCACTGGGCGCTGACCCCGGCGGCGGCCCTCCGTCAGCGGCCTTTGGGAGGCTTCAGCGGGCCGGCGCCGGCAAGGACACGAGACCACGTCTGTGGCGAAGCGCACCACCCAGGAATGACGTGAGCGTCCGGTGCGGCGCCGCCCGCCTCCCAAAGCGCCAGAGCCACCGCCCACCGGCACCGGCCGGCCACAAAACAGCGCGCACCGCTCTCATCGCGCGCGATGCGGCACACTTTGTCGGCAAAAACGGCGCGGGCCGCGGCGCCAAGTGGCGCGGAACGGACGCTGATGGGGGGCGACGGCGCGACGCCCGGTCGGCACGCTGACAAATTAGCGACGACAGAGCGCCGCCGCCGCCAGCCGAGCCGAATTCCCCCGGCCGCCGCCGAGAGCGGGCGCGGAAGAGCGGCGGGCAGGAGTGCGAGGAAGAGGCGGCGGCGGCGCCACTCGCGGCTGGCACCGGGTCAAGGCCTGGCGCGCACCGCCGCCGCCGTCCGGTCACGCCTCTTGCCGTTTTGTGGCGCTCCGTGCCAGCGCGACGACTCGCACAGCGCCCGGCAGCTGCGCCCCCAGCTGGACATGCACAAACGTGGACCGGCTTACTCTCGTTTGCTTGTGTTATCACTCATGAGTAATACCAGCTGGCGATAATGTGTAGGGTTATCCATGTAGTCCCTTCATTCCTATCGCCACACAGAGCAATGTGGAGCTTAAAAATCACTACAATCAGACTTGTGCCTGCCTTGCTGTTGGTTTTTGATTCACAATGTTTTTTTCCAGTAGTCTAGGCCTGCACTCCTGTTGCAATCCATACATTTGCAAAATTCAGATCCCGGATCCGTGGCCGATATTAATTGCATCGCAAAACTTAAACTCAGGGCTCTGGCTCCTAGTGGTCTTTTCAACAGCACAAGCCACGGATTCCATTGCCTGTTGATTCGTTCGCAAGAACCAAACCACGGGTACTGATGCCAATGCCTTTCCGTAACAACCCGATCCCGGATCCTGTTTCGCACTTGTACAAAACCCGGACACTGGCAACTGGTTTCCACGACAACTCCTTCGCAGACACCCATCCTGGACCCCAGTTTTCATCTGATTCTCACTCGCACCACAACTAGACCTGTTCTTTTCTAAATCCAGCCACCTGGACCCTCCTCCCTGATACTGCCTGGGCGCTTGCCTCTGGTCCCTTCCAACACACGTAGAGACCAATGACATCAGGTCACCATGACAATCCCCATCACAAGGGGATAGTCATGCGATGACACCGTAGCCGCCACCGACCTGAGAAATAGCTAGGGGCTGATTTTCAAAACAGAAACCCTACCATCCCGCCCGACGTCGTACAGGACTCTGACCCTATAGCCATGCTTCCCGAATACTCTGCACTTTTAAGCAACGGCTTGTCATTTTCTGCGAGAGGGAAATCTGTTTCACTTTATATAATTTTATTAGAATCCCACGTGCACAGGAAAAGCCCTGGTTTGTTCTCATGCATCCTGTGACATATATTCATATTAATGGGCCTGGAAAATTGCGAGGTGGAAACAATAAAGGTTCACAACAGGTACTGCCTGCCGTAAAAGTGTACTGCCGTAAAAGCCTGGCTGTTGCCGGATTTTTTTCGGAAAAATTCCAGGATTCATGGAAGGATCTGATTGGATCCTTCGGTATATATATATATATATATATATATATATATATATATATATATATATACGAGTTTTCTGGAAGGATCTTGCTGGATCCTTCGGAAAAGTTCCTGGTTATTTTGGAATTATCAGCAAACCTCTATTTTAAAACTAAGATCTCCCTCCCCCGTCGCTGGCGCTCCATGAAAGGGTGCGCGACGTCGAGCGTCGTGTTTCCTCTAAAAATATTGTTTTTTGCTGAATCTCTTGACACAGTTTCACACTGCGACTGGTTTTGCTTGGATCCCGGCATCATTCCAATCTGCACCTAGATTCCTGCTCGCTTGATGTTTCGACATTATTCAGAGCTGGATCATTGTTCATGCTGGATCCGTTAGCATCACTCCAAAATGGTTCCTCGTTCTTCCTCGTTAAGCTGACAGAAACCAGAAACCGTCTCTCGAGAACCAATCTTTGTAATCAGGCGCACGTCCAGTGCTGCTCAGCGTTCAGAATGTGAAGCCACTATCACCCCCAGCCCGGAGGGATCCTAGTTTGATGGATCGCGAGGCACATCGTAGGTCTCGGTGCGAGTCGCCATGCTCTCCAAGCTTCAGAATAATGCGCACATCCCTTGTGGCACGCCATGTGAACGTCCCTCCCGATCTGACCTCAGCAGGTCGCCGTGCGAGCGCCCCTCCCGATCCGACCTCAGCAGATCGCCAGGTGAACATCCCCCCGATCTGACCTCAGCAGACCACCATGTGAGCCTCCCTCCCGATCTGACCTCAGCAGGTCGCCATGGGAGCCTCTCTCCCGATCTGACCTCAGCAGGTCGCCATGGGAGCCTCTCTCCCAATCTGACCTCAGCAGACCACTATGTGAGCCTCCCTCCCGATCTGACCTCAGCAGACCACCATGTGAGCGTCCCTCCCGATCTGACCTCAGCGGACCACCATGTGAGCCTCCCTCCCGATCTGACCTCAGCAGCCCACCATGTGAGCCTCCCTCCCGATCTGACCTCAGCAGACCACCATGTGAGCCTCCCTCCCCGATCTGACCTCAGCGGACCAACCATGTGAGCCTCCCTCCCGATCTGACCTCAGCAGACCACCATGTGAGCCTCCCTCCCGATCTGACCTCAGCAGACCACCATGTGAGCCTCCCTCCCGATCTGACCTCAGCGGACCACCATGTGAGCCTCCCTCCCGATCTGACCTCAGCAGGTCGCCATGGGAGCCTCCCTCCCGATCTGACCTCAGCAGACCACCATGTGAGCCTCCCTCCCGATCTGACCTCAGCAGACCACCATGTGAGCCTCCCTCCCGATCTGACATCAGCGGACCACCATGTGAGCGTCCCTCCCGATCTGACCTCAGCAGACCACCATGTGAGCCTCCCTCCCGATCTGATCTCAGCAGGTCGCCATGGGAGCCTCCCTCCCGATCTGACCTCAGCAGGTCGCCATGGGAGCCTCCCTCCCGATCTGACCTCAGCAGACCACCATGTGAGCCTCCCTCCCGATCTGACTTCAGCAGACCACTATGTGAGCCCCCCTCCCGATCTGACCTCAGCAGACCACCATATAGCGTCCCTCCCGATCTGGCCCCAGCCGGCCGCCCGGCTAGCGCGCTCACTAAAGCATTTCCTAACTTACGCGCATCTCGCCCTCCAGCCCAAACAATTTACATGTGAATCCTTGTGCAAATAGCATTCACGTAACTGCGAACTACATTCCATAGTAAATATGTCGGCAGGCGAACGGTTCCGACATGTGACCCGTAAGTTGGGCCGGGTTCCCGCGGGACACGACGCTCGGCAGAGAAGCCGACTTCACGTGCCCGCCAGACTGTACAGGGTGACGCCAGGCGAGCGCTACTTGGTCAGCTGACCGGCGCAGGGATATGCAGCCGGCCGGGTGTCAGCACCCGCCGCTGGACGCGTGCAGGGATGGGGGAGATGTTACCGTAATCCGCCGCCGGCCGGAAAACGCCGCTCGTCAGCCGGCCGAGGGGCAGGGGGGGGGGCGGGGCAGGTGCACGTGCCAGCGCGTGATGGGCGCCCCTCCCCCAGCCCGCCGACGCCCGTTCTGCAGGCACGAGCCGGTCTTCGCACCAGCGCCGGCCCCGACCGTTGCCTTTCAGCCACGGCCCGTCGGGGGCGGCGCCGAGCACTGATCGCGAATGCTCACTCTGACAGCTGTCGACCCGACTGACACGGCAAACAGCGCGCCCGCCCGGTGACAGCGGACACGGCAAGGGAGCAGTCGCAATCAATCCGGCCAGGCAGGAGTCGCGTCGCCGCTGGGTTCGGATGCCACTATCGCTTTGTTCGATCAGAAATTACCGGTGATGCTTCTTTAAATCAATCTCGAGAAGTTACCGCCATGAGTAATCAATACTAGTGCCTGTTTGTCAGCCACGACGTCCCCAGTCACTGCGTACCCATTGTGCCTCTAAGCAATGAGCGCTCTAAATGCATGTCTTGAGACGGCAATGGTCGGTTCGGAAACTGCGTTTCTGATGACCTCCCATCTCAGTGATGCCTTGTGTGAGAGCTGTTCGGGCAGCCGTCATTAGACCCCGCCGTCTGCTGTCCCCAGGCTTGTGACCCCAGCTTTGCCATCTGACCGCCGACTGGGCCCGACTGGCTCCCGTCCGCCCTGGGATAGCCGACAGGGCGCGTCGACAACCTCGCAGCGCTCCACTCAAAGCAGGAACAAACAACGAGCCCACGCCAGGTCCTTGCCCACACTCTGGCGGGGGAGGGTCGAGGGGAGAGGGGCCAGTCGCGATAAACTCCCGCTCCATCCGGCCAGCGGCGGAGCACACCGGGATCCGTCAGCCGCTCGTCCCGAACACCGGGGGCACGGCGTGCGTGGGCGGCGGCGGCGCGTGCCGGGCCGGCCGGCCGGCTACCGGCGGCGGCCGCCGGGCCGGCGGGCCTCCCCCGGCGTCCGCCGTCAGCGGCAGCTGCCGACCGCCGGCCGTTGACTTGTTTGGGGGAGCAGCATGATAACCGGCGGCCGGGGCCGGCACGGCATCGATCTGCGCGCGCGGCGCCCGCCCGTGTGCGCTGTAGCGGAGCCGCACACCCCGCCGCCGCCCTGAATTAACAAAGCGGCTCGGCGGCCGGCACGCGCGCCACAAAGCCGGCTGTCGCATCAGCTGAGCGGCGCGCCCGGACAATGGCGACCGGGGGAGGGCCGACGGCAGCTGCCGGCGCGTCGGCCGCTCCCACCGGATCCGGCGCGGCGAGGGCAGCGGCCGACGCGACTGCCGCCCGACTGGGCAGGCGACCGGCGCCGTCCCACCGCCCGAGACCGCGGGCTGGGGCAATCATCACAACCGTGACCGCGTGGTGGCTCGGGCCCGCCGGAGCCCTGGCTCACACTGTGCACACTGCACGTGCCGCAGATGGCAGATCCCGGCATATCGCACTCCATTGCTCCACTCCCTTCCTACCGAGCAGGTTACTCGGAAGCGGGCAACGCCGACCTTGAGAATCAACCAAAGTTAGGCAACAGCGGCGCCCGCAGCGGCATTACCAGCGAACTCTGGCCGAGATCAAGCGATCCTAGACACCATTCTCTCGAACAGGGCGGGAGTCTTTTACTTAAGAGTACAACTTCCCATCTACGTGAGTACATATATCAGCATTGCCGATCTTACACTATGCACACATACCTACGAATGGTGACGTGCGATCACGAAGATTTCATGTTCTAAATCACAAAGTATGGTGAACAACTAACATCCAACTTCTTCTGGATACATCCACTGCTAGGATCCTCACGGCCCATTCTGATCAGTCAAATGGCAGCCGGCACTGGGCCTGAGTGACAGCCCGTGCAATATAGTTCGATACACCGCGCGATGCCTTCTTTTCAAAAGCCGTACAATAAAACGCACTGGTCCGGCAGCCAGTCTTCGGAAGCCGGAAGAAGACAGCCCCCGACGTCCAGAGACTGTCGGATGACACGTTCATAGAACGCAGGCCGAGGCGTCGGCACCGCCGCCCGCGCTGTGCGGTGTGTAGCCGCCTGCTCGAAGCGCCCGCAGCGGAGGGGAGGAGCGGGCCGGGGCGGCGTGTAGCGCGCGCGCGCGCGGCAGGCTGCAGGTGCCGGCCCGCCCGACAGCTGTGGCGTCGCGTCATTACCGGCTGCGTGCGGGAGAAGAGCCAGCCGGCCCGGCTCGGGTCCGCTTCCACCTCCGCCCGCCGGCTCAGCGGCGGCCCGCTCCCACAGGCAGGCCGACTGGCGTCGGGCGCAGAGGTCGCGGCCACCGGCCTGCTCTGGCCGGTCGCCTGGACGAGGCGGGCGGTTGACACCGCCCTGGTCACGCCCGCCCGGCTGCCCCACGCGCCTGGCGAGAGCCGTCCACCTCCGGGTCACATCGCCCTCCCGGCCATCGCACACGGGCGGCTCTGGCCGAGCTGGCCGGGCCGAGCTGGCCGCGTCCGCCGCGCCCCCGCCCGCCGGGCCGGCGACAGCTCGCCTATCGACCGGGACCACGCCCGCCCGCCTGCGCCACACCGCAGCGGTCGCGCCGACAGCCAGCCGGGCCACACCACAACAGCCGCACAAGACGGCTGCTGGTGAATAATGCAGCCCGTGCCGAGCGCCGCCGCCAGCCGCCAGCCGCCATTGACCGCCGCCCAATGTGCGCCGCGGCGGCGAAAGGGGGAAAAAATCACCGCCATCACGGCGCAGGAAGCCATTCAGAGCTAGGAAAAGTTGGGCCGCAAGACGACCCGACTGGCGAAGACTCAAGTCATTAGCTGTCGACGCGCGGGCAAGCAGGTGTCACAGGCGGCGCGCGACGTGCACTTGGTCGCCGCGCCGGTGAGGAATATTACGCAGCAAAAGTCGCAGCAAACCGCGTCTGTCAGTGGGCAGAAGCTTCGGTCACAGCCAGCCAGCCCCAGTTCACGTACCTTGATGGTTTTGTTCTGTAGTCGCAGTCCGTTCAGCGTGCTGATAGCCTTCTCAGCGTCCTCAATTTTATGGTAGTTGACAAAGCCATACCCTAAGCTCTGACCTGCCGGAGAGAGAGGGTAGCTGGGGTCAGCCAGTGGCGGTGGGGTCATCAGGCACATAGTCAACGACGCCCAAAGTCTCGCCGGCCGCCATCGTCCGATTAAGCCGACTCGAAAGGTTGTCACGGCTGTAAATTCGGCCGAGTTGTGGGCGGCCTGCAGGCGCCGCGCTGCTGGCGGCCGCGAAGGTCACCCGGTCCGGCGGGGTCGGAGGGCACACCGTCGCCACTGAGACGGCAGCCCGCCCCCCTTCACACCGAACATCTGAGCGGCGTGGACCATCCGACACCGCACCAGAAGCGGGGGGGGGGGGGGCACCCCGACACCGTACCCGAACCCAGCCGCAGCCGCCACGCCGAATCACTCGCCGGCTCTGGAGGCAGGCCAGCCGGCCGCGTACAAACACGCCTCTCATCGCGGACACCCAGTGTCAGGCGCTGTCCTGTCACGGCGCCTAGGACAGCGGGCCGCCCACGGCACCGACGCCGGCCGGACGGTAGCCAGCAGCAGCCAACACACGACACGCCTCATCATCTGTCAATCCATTAAGCTCACTAGAGCGCGGGAACACCTTAAGGGCAACCTTAAGCAACCGTCACTTTCACAGGACCCGAAACACTCCAACAGAGTCGCCAGTCAGATTCCTGAAATCGTACACCAAAAGGCAATGATCGGCGACGTACGAGAGCTTCTGTTAGAACCACAACCACAGTCAGACAATTTCAATATCACATAAAGCAGACAATGCAATTACATGCAAAACAGTAACCGAACCCCTGCTGCCCCAAGAATGCTGCTCGCTGCATACACTGCCAGGGCAATAAGGAGAGCAAGGCAGAGAACAATAGAGGAGTGTGTATGGTGGGGGGGGGGGGGGGGGGGGAAGGGGACGATGCCCTTCAGTGCGCCAGCGGCCGCTACGTATGCGGCCGGCCCGGCTGGCCCGGGTGACGAGAGAGGGGAGGCCGTGCCCACTCAGCGGCGCCGCGGGCCCCGGCTCGGCCTGGCTTCGTAAGCCGGACGAACGGGTTCAACACAGATCACAGAGGGATAAGCAAAAGCAGGTGAACGCACAATATAAAGACAAAACGATATCACTGCCATACGTTGTCGACTGCACCGTATTTTTCTCAACCACAACTAGCTGCGGCCGACGGGCCCATCTGCACCTCAGGTCACCCACTCACAGCTAGCTGAACAAACGAACTGGGGGCCTTCTCACCGGTTAGGGGTAAAACCTGCATGAAATAGCTTACAAGGAACCGGCTGACAATGTTTTAACCAGACCAGGTAAAATGCGTTCGGGGCAGACATCCACCCAGAGCGTGCACCCATCCATAGACGGGGGCCTCGTCAGCCGCCGGTCCTGTGCTGCCTGACGTGGAGGGTGGCTGGCCTCCAAGCTACATAGAGATCGCCGGGTACCGGCGCGGTGACGCGCTCCGGTCGTTCCTTCCATACCGGCTCTGAGCCGGGCGACACTGCTTCGCCGCGATCAGACGGCTGGTCTCGCAGTTCAAGGTCTCAGCTGTGTAAGCCATGCTTGGTTCGCTGTCCGCGAGGATCATGCCTGCTACGCGTGCCGCGCGCGTCTGCATCGACGTCCGCGTCTCTCAGGGCGCTCCAGCGGTCGCTGGACTCGCCGAGCAGACGGGGCCGCCGTGCGCCGGCCGAGTGGGCCGGCCTGGCAGCGGGCGGCCGGCGGCCGTCCGTGACGACAGGTGTCGGTGACGGGCCGTCGGCAGGCGGCGGCGGCGGCGGCCCGTCACTGTCACCGAAACCGACCGGGCCGCCGGCGCCGTCACTCGCTGCTACATTCCAGCAGGACGCGGCTCCGGTTACAGGCCGTCCTGACCTACCCCCCGCGCGTCTCTGCCAATGGCCCGAAATAGCTGACATCACACGGCAGCCATTGTGTGCGGGCGCACCGCATCCGAGAGACAGTCGCGTTCCGCCGAGTCCGCCGAGTCGACCGGCGCCGGCCCTCCAGCCGGCCGGTAGCGGCTCTAATCGTCGGGCACGGCGCCGAGCCGGGCCGGGCCGGGCCGGGCCGGAGCGCCCGCTGCCAGGAGCGCCGACCGGGCGCCGACGGCGCTCGCCGCCCGCCGCAGCAGACGCAGGTCGACACAGTCCGCCCACCGCCGCTGCCGCCGTCGCCGCCACCGCCGCGCCGCCACCCGCCGCCGCTGCAACCTAAACATCGCACTGTAGCTATTTTGGCGGCCCGGTCGTAAACAGGCGGGCGGCGTCGGCTCGCGGACGGGCACCGAGACGCCGCGCCAGCCGGACGGAAGTCGGCCAGACAGCGCGCATGCTTTTTCGCAATGTCGCGTGCCCGTCCACGGCTTGGACACAACAGTGGCCGCTCGTAAATCGTCGCGCAACTGAGAAACTATGCCATTCGGCGCGCCGATGCCTGGCGTTCCGCCAGCCTAGTGACGTCTCTGGACCGTCCGCCGGTCAGCATTCATATCCATTTTGTATCCAGCCCTCAAAAGCCAATGCTTCAAGGCATTTCAGAACACAACTCCATCGAACGCAGCCGCCGACAGGCCTTTCAATACCAGCACTTCGCCGGAAGAGCAACCCGGCAGAGTGCTCGTCTCACAGAGGCGGCGCGTCCGACGGTCACCCCCAACTGCGCCAAGGGATGTCGACGAGACGGCCGCCGGGTGCGGCGCAGCCTCGCCGCGGCGGCCGCCGCCGTCGCCGTCGCCGTCGCCCGTCCATTTCACGCCACCAAAGCTTCGTCCGTTCAGAGCGCTACACGATCGCGCCACCGCGGAGCCGGCGGTCGGCGCCCGCCGCGGCCACGCGGCACGCCTGGAGGCCCGCAGGCCGGCGGCCGGCGGCGGCAGCCAGGGGCCCGGCGTCGCGCCGCCGCCGACTGACTGGCCGGCTCAGGGCGACAGCCGTCAGCGCGCCCGCACCAGTCCGCTAACAGCTGCGGAGAGCTGACGACGGCTGCTGGAGGATCAGCCCCCGGCGTGGCAGCCGACCCGTGGCTAAGCAAATGTAGAACGCGTCCTGCGCAAACAAACTTAGACAGAGCGGACAACATTCTGATAAGTTTCAGATATAAATACTAGACTTTCTTTGCATTGCCTATAGCAGGAACTTAAAAATGTCTATTCCATGAAGCAACGTAACAACTTTGCTGACATCACTACGCCAGTAGTGATTAACAGGCAAGCTATCCAAAACAACAGAGAAGCTGGCAAGGCGTGCGGCCTGTTTGAGCGTTTGTTTTTAGCTTCAACGTGTGTATCTGGGACTGTATGACAGAAATCAAAGCGGTCGGGCAATCTACCAGCGGCTGGCTGGTCGCATGCCTCTTGGGAGTCAACGATGGGTTGAAGGTACCGGATCTGCGACCACCAGAGAGACGCCAAGGCGGATATTAAGTCGCGAGACGCTCACATCTGGCTCCTGGACACTGAGGGGGCCCCGAGACACATTTAAAACCTGCAGCGCCTGAAGGGCCGGAAACAGCTCAAGTTGCTCCAAGGTCGAAGACTCCCATAACGTAGAAGGGTTTACGGGACAACTTGACTCATCAAAGCTGGAGTTTCAGGAGAACTGAGAGGGGGAGGCGCGCATTGGCGGCGGAATGTACGCGGCACACTGCCAAGAGCACGGCAGCCCCGTTTACCTAACAGTTGGCGCTAGGCGCGGCCACAGGCTCCCGGAGCCTCGCTGTGGCCAAGCGGCACTGCGTGCGCCCGCGGTCTGGGCAGGCGGCACCGCGTGTATCCGCGGTCACAGGCTCCCAGAGCCTCGCTGTGGCCAGGCGGCACTGCGTGCACCCGCAGCTTGGCCAGGCGGCACTGCGTGCGCCCGCGGTCTGGGCAGGCGGCACCGCGTGTATCCGCGGCCACAGGCTCCCGGAGCCCCGCTGTGGCCAGGCGGCACTGCGTGCACCCGCGGCACCGAACGCATTTGTTTGCTCAGCAGCAGCCACCCAGAATATATATATATAGCACCATTTCCAGACGCCGTGTGCAATTACAGCCAGACGACAGATTCAACGGCAAGTAACTTACAAATGAACCCTTTTGTTTAAACCGCAGCTCTCGCGTGCTCATCATTAATGCACATCTAACATCTCACATAGTGAAAGTACATCAATAACACCGAAACTTTTAATATTAAAACAAAATGCACGGCACATCAATGAACACCAAGCATTTCATCTGAATACAAAACAGTAAACATTAAGAAATATTAACTCAACAATAAGGCATCCTTAATGCATCCAATAATCGCAGCGGATGGACACTGTACAGGTGATAAGTGAGATCATTTTGTGGCAAACAGCTGTTTGCAAACGCCGGCTGATAACAAAGTCCACAACAGACCGTCTTTTTACAGCATTGCACACGATCAGCCTACCATGCGAAAAGTTCCCCTCCATGTTTAAAAAAAAGTTTACTATGCACGTGCTTGCATGTCATGCCCTGACCTATTGAATGCGCTCAAAATGGGACACATTTGGAGCTCTGCAGCACATTTTGGCAGTCACAAACCAGCCAGATACCGAATTACATGCAGAGCGTTCGCCAGCATTAATCGCCGACGAATATTGAGCATACGGCGTGCACATTTCTGTCTGCTTTATGAAAGCATAACACTTGCAACGTTGTTTGCGCAACTCAGCTAATAATTTGCTAGCTTCTCCACCGTATTTCCCGGACACAAACCATTAATTTTCTGGAACAGGTTTGCGTCAAGCTCCGGGCGCCATAGACTTCAGTGTGAGGGTCGAGCCGCCTGACAACACTAATTTGCGATGCAAACGGGCTGATCAGGTGTACTGCTAGCGAGGGCGGCACCTGACATGCATTCCAACGCGGTACCGACGATCCTTTGGTTTCCGATTGCCTAGAACCCATCGGTCCGTCCCCCCGGCAGAAGCGGCGGGCGTGGGATGGAGCCTTGACAAGGCACAGCTGCCTTCCTGTCAGCAATATTTTGTTTTAGCCCCATGGCGTTATGAAAGAAATCAGAGTTCCAAGTCACGCTGAAACTCGACGGCCACGGACGACACGATGCCAAATGTGTCATATCCATTTTCCTGGCCTGTGCACCTGACCAGAAGTGACAGTCGCCAGATACCAGGCGGCGGGCGCCGGCCGTGCAGACGGCTGACCTTTCCAAATGCATCAACTCGTCGAACGCTCCAACTGTTTACCAAAGTGGCCTAGCAGCGAGCAGCTGTGCAGTGTCTATCTGTGGGCAGTGTGTAGGCTGTTACCGGCCACCGCTGGCCGGACACAAACGGTCGCGCCGACTCCTGGCTGACCGGTGCACGACACGGAGCCGAGCCTCTGGTTTCGAGACAACCAGCGGCGGGTCCCGGCCCGGTCTCTGGTCCGGCCGGCCGCGGCACCGAGCTGCACCTCTTGCTCCTCCCCTCTGCCCGGGCAGAGGCGGCGGCGGGTTTTACGGCACAGCCACGCCGCACCTGGCCTATGGCACAGCCGCGGAGTCGGCCGCCCTTACCGCCATTCCGGCTAAAAATATGACGGCGACACGTCCGCCTGCACACGGGCTATGCAGCGTCGGCGGCGCCTGGGTCCAAACGGTGCTCAGCTGGCCCGCCGCAGCCGCCGCAGCCGCCGCCAACGCCGCCGCCGCAGCGCCGGCGCACCCGCGACACCGGTGCCGCCCACGGCTTGCAAGACACTTCCTTTGCAGCGCCCCTCCGCCCGCCCATTCCATCCATATGGCATGTGCTCACCTCAGTGGTGCTCACAAATGGCACGTTCACTATTCTAGCTATCTGACCGCTGGCTTTTTGGCACCAGGCATCGACGGCGGCAACAGCATTTCTCAATGTTCTTTTACGAGGAGGAATGCTCTTATCCAGTCACGGATGATCTTCTGACAGCAATCACCATGCTCGTTTGCGTAAACACGCCAGGAATGCGGACAGTGAGGTTAGGGAGTTCACCTATTGTTGCGCCCTGGCTCAATGTATTTTTAGTCCCGTCTTCTAAAGTTGGTCTGCTCGAGGTGCTTGAATTCTGAGCACCACCACTGCCATAAAGTACGGGAGGAAGCCGAGCCGCAGGGCAACGACGATCGACACAAACTGAATCGATCGTTCCCTACATCTTCCTTTCATACACGCTAACAATCGACTCCTTGGCACATGGATGGAGGCCAGTGCATTATGAAACCCAGCCAACTATCGATGCGGTGCTATTCACGAAGGCCGCTATCAGTCATACGCTACCAATGAGCCAGAGCACAGTCTGCTTGCTCATGCCACGGCCGAAGCGCATGACGCACCATGCCAGCGCTAGCCAGCACTCGTGGTTGCGTCGTCGGCGACGGCGGCTCCCCCAGGGCGTTGCCATGACGTCAGCCGTCGCCGCTGCCGCCGCCACCGCCGTGCAGGGGACGGCCGCCGCGGCTCGGTCGATGACCAGCGGCCGATCGGACGGCCGGCGGCGCGACGCGCACGTGGCGGCCAGCGGCTGGACCACGCCCGAGCGGCCAGCTGGACCGGCGGCGGGCCGGGGGGCGCCAGCACACTGCGCCGGACGGCCAGTCAGGACGGCCAGGCCGGGCGGCCAGCACGCCTGACCGCTACATGAGGACCGCCGACTATCTGCTGCGACTATGGCAGGGTGGACGACCTCGACCGTTCTCAGAAACGTAGGCAAAAACGCTGGAAGCCAAAATGCACCCTGTATTTCTACGCATTGTTGCACCATCCGCAGCGTTCTGTCGGTCAACCAGCCGCGGCAGAACGCTTGCAGCTGCCTTGCGGAGGGGCAGTGGGCGAGGGACAGATCTATGCGGTGTCTGTCAATAGGGCTTTCCGTAAATCCCCTGGCCTCCCCTGGCATTCTCTGTGCTGAGCCTCCGGGGGTGAGAGGAGCGGCTGGATAGTCTCCGCCGACACCCAGCCCCGGCTGCGGTGCCTCCAGATCGCTTACACGGCGTGCGGACAGCCGCCTGGTGCCGTGCCAGCTGCACTGCCCATACATTTGGTACCACATTCCACTCGGATACACACACACAAAACGCGTTTTGCGCACAAGTAATCCATGGCAGCTTCGGCATACTGAATACTTGTTGTGCCTTTGAAATAATTTCGGCTGCCCTTTCGCAGGACGCCAGCTTACATACTGGCACACCGAGCACAAGTGACAGTGGGCGGACTTGCATTACAAGCGTACTGGAAACGACGGGATGGTTAGTTGCTCGGGAAGTAATCAATCATGTAGGAACAACACACGAACGAAAGTAGATGGTGGTTGCCAGCTGTCAAACATGTCACTCAATTTCGACTGATGTTTCTTGTTTGGCAAGGCTACCACGATACATATTTCAGATACCGGCTCCAGAGGACGCGGAAGCCCGGTTCCCAGTGTCCTAGAAACGGTCGCAAATGAATACGAAACATAGTTTAAAATCGTTCTACACTTGTGACAGTATGCACCGGCAAGAGAGACAATGGATTGATATAAAAGCAGCACTTTGCAGAGTGCAGCCAACCAAGTCAAGCTACAGTTTTTACTTTTGTTACCTTGTTTGCATACTTTTCAGGGCACCGGGTTCAAAACAGTGCCTGAGTGGATGTGACAAGATCAGTTCACCTGATGCACAACTTCAGCGGCTCAGTTTTTTTAAGGCTCCGCAGCTCGGGGAGGTTCCACGATCTTATGCACCTGCAGGCTACATGTGTACCGCCTACCCAAGTAGCATAACAGTCAGCTAACCACGGCCGCCTGTCTCTCGGCTCCACAGGTACTGCGTCCTGCGCTGGAGAGCTGAAAACCTCCCGAGGGACACCCGACGACGCCCTGGCCGGAGGACCAAACATCTCAGCGACGAACATGACGCAGCGCAGGGCGAGTCTAGGCGACAGAGCAAACCAGTCCGGCGCCGAACCCGGCCCCTGCCTGCGCGCCGCACGCGTCCGTACCTGTCACCTTGTCGCGGATCAGCTTGCAGCTCTCGACCTCGCCAACGCTGGAGAAGAGGCTGCGAATCTCCTCCTGCGACATGGTCTGCGGCAGGTAGTTGACGATCAGGTTGGTCTTGGACTCCTCGGTCTGGCAGGACTGGGGCGCGTGGCCGGGCCCGGGCCCAGGGCTGGTGCCGCCGCCGCTGCTGACGGCGCCGTGGCCCGGCTTCGAGTCGGCCTGGGCGGCATGCACGCCTCCGTTCGACGTCAGACCTTCCAGCTCCACGCCGTTCATCATGGACGTCACGGAGTCTGCCGGCACGGGGCGGCGGCCACTGTCACACAGAGGTCACGCTATGGAGATCAGGGCAGGCGATATGCTCGGTTCTGAACCCTGCTGATGTCTCACCCAACCCCAGTGCTCAACAGTCACCGTCAACTGGCTCGTCGAGCGTCCAGCAAATGGCCAGAACAGTGTGGCAAATGGCAGGTGTTAACGCTCGCATCCCAGAAAAGCAGCCTGCGATCCAGCCAGCGGAACGGCGGAAGTGACCCATTTTGGATTGGACCAAACATGGTTAATCAAATAACTGTTGAGTTGGCATCGCAGGAAACGAGTAGTATCAAATGTGACCCATTCAGTTCAATCAATGACCTATCAAACAGCAAAAAGGCAATGAGCATGCGACACTGGGAACCTCTTGATTATCAGTTCCTGACATATCAACATGCTTCGAAAAGAAGTCCTAATGCCGTTGAATAAAAAACATGGCCACAAAGCGTGTAACTGAACACAATATCCCGTACAATACACCCTAACCAGTCTCCCATAGAAAACCACTGGCGAGGCGACTTGGTTGGCGTGGAAAAGGCGTGCAGATGACATGTGGATGTGCTTTCACGTCAGACGAATCGAAGACCTATGCAAGTAGACCCAAACGCATTCAGGGTTAACGTCCAGACGATCGCCATTCCGGTGGAATCCGACAGCTCATGGTCATTCTGAGACCGGATACACCAACTCAAAATTATACGCATGGACTAGCAGCCCACGGCATGGCTGTTTTCAGTCGACGGAATGTAACCAATTTTCCCTTCGTCTGAATGATCTTTGCTTCGGGCATGGGGACGAAGCTGACTTTGGCTTCGGCTTTGCGCGTACAAAGTTCGAAGTCACCGGCTTCGGATTCGTCTTCACGTTTGGAAAGATGCGAAGTCGCTGGCTTCGCCTTCGGCTCGCAGATTCAAACACTGAAGCCATCGGCTTCAGCTTCGACTTCAGCTTTGTTTCTTCGTCTGTCACTGGCTAAAAATTCAGCCTTGAAACCAGGAGGCTGGCTTCGTCGTCATGCCTGCTGTGTCTGCAATAATTATGAGCAAAACTTTGTTCAAAATCGGAGAGCGCAAACGTTTGCAGCACGCTTCTAGCGATGACTATTTCATCCACGGCGGACGCTCCGAGCATTTCGGCTGTGTTTACCTTTCAGTCTGCGAGAGTGTTAGTTTGCGTGGGTGCTGCGCCTAAACGGCTCGGCCGGTCGGCACCAAACCTTCGCTGCTGGGTATGCCCCACCGGCGCGCAGACTGCGGCGCTGGCCCAGAACCGATCCGCGCCTCATGCGCCACGTGTCTCAGTGCCTCACCGCCCCCAGCCTCCGTTGACCTCACGCGCCTTAGAAAGTAAACCGTTGTAATAGCTTAAGTCATCACTGCACAGCTGCAGGGCAGAGCTTAGTCAGCGCTGCAAAGTGCGGTGTGTTGGTTTAACATCATGGAGTGCGCGTTGCGCGCGTGCATGCAGATCAGAGCATCTGACCCACGCTCAGAGTTTTAACCCAGATTCCTCCAAATCACTAATGTATAAAGCTATAACTACCGAGTTCAGCAGGTAGATATGTCTTCACGCGTTCCAAGTCATAACATATGCAATGGTGCACGCCCAAGGTTCATGCATCTATTTTGGGCGCCTTTTCACCACGGCCCGATCACCGATGAGCGGCCAGCGCCACCTGCTTTGGAAATAGGCAACAGTCGAGAGATATGTCGAACCATAAACAATGCCATCAGAACGGTACCTTGCACGTTGCATGTGTGAAAACGTTTGCACTCTTCTGCAATTACACAACAAACATCACTACTATGAAGTTGAAATGTGACGGTAAAACTTGGTATGAAAATCATTATCCAAGCGTAGTTGCTTCATACTGAAATAACCAAAGGTCCTGTGCGATACGACCGTGTCTCGTTGCACCCCGTCATTGGCAAAACAATGAACGACCTAAAAATATAAAGCCACCGAATTTAGTGAGCACATCACACCCGCAACACGGACAATGCAGATCAGTGAGTCAGTATCATGATATGAGGATGGCAAACGTTCCCGGCTCTATCTGTGAGTAACACGCTCCTGGGTGGCCGGTTAAATGCTCCGCGCTCGGGCGGGGAGGAGTCAATTTGATTCCCCCACCCCGAGATCTCGAAAACAAAGAGAGTTAGAGACACTAGATATACAGAGTGGGTAGGCCTCTATGTGAACTATTGTGCGTCAAATCTTGACATCCTTAGGTCATAAACTTTAGGTCAAATGACGTCAAAAAGGTCAAACTTCACATCGGTGTCCAAAGTGCCCCGAGATCTCCGCATGCAACCCGCTTTAACCTAGATGCCTCTCATGACGAAATGGGTTCGCAGCACGTCAGTGACCTTATCTGACCTTAAAATAATAAAACTCAAGAATATCCCCGGGCTTATTTCAGTATTTGAATTTACAACTGACGCCAAGCACTACTCTAAGCGGCATGCTACCCAAAGCAAAAAGGTTGATCGCGGTCACTTCAGACCAGTGACCTCCACTGACCTTTATCGAGTACACATACGGAATCTTTTGACGTCACGATCCAGCAATTTGACATGCGTGTCAGAGCCTACCACATAAAGCAAGATTTCTAGAAATAAAGCGGCTTGGCTTGACCATGACCTTACCTCTATACCTGACCAAAGGTTAATCGAATTATTCTTGAACCTAATTTCAATGACGTAATTTCCTAAGAGAGCATTCCAACGCTTTTTGAATGTCTAACACTGCGTTGTCGCATCAAATTGACCAATGTCCTTCGATTATTGAGATTGGTACGTACCGATGGCGAGATGAGTCGACTCAAAATCATGTTTTTGGGTGGAAGGCGACGCCGTACTCATGCTGCGTACGCGTGCAGGAGCGTTCCATTTTTTTCCCGTGGATCTCAAACCTATCATGTGCGTGACCTTCCGTCTACTGAGGCGTTGAGCAGCTGCCGGTTGAAGGAAAGCGTATATCGTAGTAATTCGGAACACCACAATATCTACCAGTTGCGTGCGCGAACCTGCACCGCTCGCAGATCCGGTGACCCGTTCAAAATGGGATGACTTAAAGCCCCAAATTTTATGCACCGTTTTATAATAAATATCATGGATACGCTTAACATGTGCTGTGGCTAGTATATTCGTGTGGGTTTCAATTCCGACAAAAAAGCAGCCAGGACGCGTAGGTTTGCCTGCGAATGATGTACCTAGAAACCTGCGGCTTTTCTAGAGAAAATACAACATTTTTGTTGGACGCCGGTTGCTTTCTATCTTGGCGAAATTCTCCTCAGTCTTGACATTAGAACGGGCCCATAGGGCGCAGACACAATCACTATTTCACCCCAACGGCGACAGGCGTTCAGGCCTTAGCGCTACGGCAGCGTGAGCAGAAGATTGGCAGCGAAGACATGCCAATATTTCCATTCATCATATACTTTCTGCGCTGGAGGGTAATTGTTTATACCACAACCCTCGTTTCATTCTACAAGAAACATACGCATGTTTTGGTGGTAAAATACCCCTGACGAATCCAGTTATTTTGTATGCGTATTGGTCACAATTGCTTGCTTTCCATGTCCTCTTGTCATACTACGGACATACTCCCAAAAGCGCATTCTCACCGGAGTCTGGTGGTATGTGATCTGCAACACGGATAGAACAGGGGCTCCTAGCTTCGTGGAATTCCAAACCAAGCCGGTTGGCATCGCAAAGCAACAACTATTTAGGAAATCATGAAAGTCGCCTCATTTTTGTTATCGGTGGTACAGTCTGAAGTTAAGACAGGCTTTAATGAGGCAATATCGCCCGCTCCCATCAGATGGCCGGAAGCACGAATGCCCAGCGAGGTAGATCAGTTGTAAGTCGTAGTCAACACAGCGCAACTGATTTCAACCGATCTGGCTTGGTTCGCGAGGTCCGCTCATGGGAAGGGGACTTGATTTACGCTCGAGCTAGCCTGACCCGTCGCGCGGGCATTTGCACCTTTACCACCGGCCGCTATTTTCTCAGTGAAGTGAAGCTGGATTAATCCCCGCCGCTGCCACCCGGGGCTGGCTTGATTTTGACACCCGTGTTGCAGATTGCATGCAATGCACACACTGTGCGTTCCGCACGTCGACCGAATGAGGGAGGTCAACCCCTGATCATATCGCACTGCTGGAAGTCCACGACGCTAGGTCAATCTGGTGTGCAGTTCTCGACAATACTGCACCGATTTAGTGATCAACTGAGTCACGAGCTACTGAAGACTAACTGGAGCCGCGCCCAGTGGCCGCTTTACATATTACCTTGCAACCACGGTGACGGTTGGGTCGGACCAACGAAGATCGAAATCAAAGAAAGCAAAACGATTCAATACGCTCAATAAAAAACAATACATCGTTGATTACGAAAACGAACGTACACAGCTCAATGTACACCTTTCTCACCGCATGCAGCGCAGTTACGTTTGGGAGGTCACGGGAACTGAAAACAGTAACAACAAACAGTAAAACAGTTTGCGCCCATAAAATCCCAGTTCGACAGCATAATTTCTAAGCAAGAGTTTAACGTGCTCCAGTGCATAGTCCAATGCCGAGGTATCAACCAATATGGTAATGAAACGTGATCTGTTTAGTGATTTCGGGTTTCTACTGGAACCTAAAGCAATTTTAAAAACTATCAGGCGTAAGAAAAGTCGACCCGTTGCTAAAAATTGCGCTCTTTTCATGGTATTTGTGATCGCGATTGTAGAGCAGCGGATGGCGTGACGAAGGATCCTTTTGAAGATGAGGGAATATCTTATTCTAGCTTTTTTAACTTCAGCTTAGGGCCTGTCAGTGAGCTTTCAAAGCTACGTTAAGTCGTCAGCTGTGGGTAACTGCCTCAGAGTGTTCTGCCTACATGTCAGCACAAGACACCCGTAGAAAAAAGCCTCGTGAAAATTATTTCAGCAGAAAATTGCCACTAAGTACTATGACACCATGACT